ATAATCTTTAAAAGTCCCATGGGTGGGGAGCAATATGATGACACTGATTGAGAGGCACTATCCAATAAAAGGCCAAATACAATGACGATGCTGGGCGACAGAGCTGAGGGAGAAGGGACTGTTTCTGTCACTCAGGCAGAAGCTGAGTCTAGACAAGTCAGTCCAGACTGCGTGTCTAGAAGCCACCTGCGAGGAACCATTCAGCTGAAGGAGAGACTCCCTCCCGCTCTGGCCAGAAGCTCATTTATACATGGCGAACACTGAGAGCCCGGCTCACTGACCTCCACCCCCGTTCTGCACATCATTAAAGCCACATCACTGAGTTTCGGGCCTGAGGAAATGCTTCTTCTTTCCTTATTGAAATCTGTTTTGCAGTTGCTGGATGTGGGTGTGTGGAGGGTTTTTTTTTAATGTATGACACGCAGGAGACATGTTTTTTTAATGTGCAATGTAGAGCAATCAGAATGACTGAGAGTTTTGTTGTTGTTGTTGTTTTGTTGGAGGGGGGGTTGTAATTCTAACAAAGGATTGTTGTCCCCCAAAAAAGTGTCATCTTGGTATACAACTGGAGTGAGAGGAGATCTCTATGAGTACCTTACTAGGCATCTCTCAAGCCAGCACCAGGAAACACAGGAATGAGACAATGGATGTCATCAATGCCACAAATTCAATGTATAATAATGCTTTGTTGAGAAAAGGGAAAATGTCTCTCTCTCTTCTACATGCTTGTGCATGAAGCCATCTGGATGCTAAGGACAGAAAAAATAAAACAGCAATTCATTCTGACATTAGGAACTCACATACTTACTTTTTTTGTCCTTGAAGGCACACATTTTTTTAACACACACAATGTAAGCGCCTTTGGGCTAAAGTGGAAGAAATCAGCTTGATCACTTACTATTTTCTAGGATCCACTCACCTCCGACTCAATACCTGCTCTGGGCCAAGAACTATAGTAGGTGCCTTGCAGATTCTCTCCCAGCTAATGAGAAAAAAACAAGGTATGGTGGTGTACCAGGTGCGGTGGTGCATGACCGTAATCCCAGCATGCAGGAGGTGAGGAAAGATCACAAGTTTGAGGTTGGCCTGGATTCCAGTAAGAGTATCTCAAAACAAAGCGGAAGAGGAGGAAGAAGGGGAAAGAAAAAGAATCCAGATTTGAACACACAGTGTTGACCCCAAATCCTGTCTTCTGGCTGCCCAAATAGGATCAAAGAAACTAAATCCAGTGCAGCCACCAGCAGGAGCCCCAGAGAAGAAGGGAGAAGCTCCTGGTGGAAGGAAGGACTTAGTCTGGCTCAGCAAATTCCCGATTGTACAACATCCGGTGAGCCTGGGGACAGAGCCCCCCAGGCTTTATCTGGAGCTAGGAATCTTCCCCAGTTCACACCGAACTAAACTCAAGTTCGCAATGAAGCTACACACTCAAACACAGAGCAAGGGGGTAGGTAGGCAGGACACCAGCCAGGGCACAGATCCACGTGCTCCTGTCCTGTGCTCACCCTGGGGGTGGGAGTTACCACCCACGAAGCTCAGTTGTTCTCTCTGGAAAATGAGAATTCCAAACCACAATGATTCTGGAGTATTCGATGCGGAATCTGAACCCCATAGGGACTCAGTGTCTCCTTGGCTGCTGCTGCCTTCCATATCTCCATCAGCAGCACAAGATCCCAACACAACAGGAAATCATTACATTTTCCCATCGCGTTTAAGGCATGTAATGCTGTTTGCTTTGGTGTTTGGTTGTTATTGTTTTTTCTTTTTATACCACTGGATTGTTTGAACTGCATTTTTTTTAAATAAAGGCACCATGAGTAAAAATGAAGCAATAGTGGTCTCTTGTGGAAGCAAGCAGTATTTACAAGTTTTTTTGTTGTTTGGTGTGTGTATGTGTGTGTGTACGCACCCACACACATGCGCGTGTGCCAGGACCAGGGCTTGAATTCAAGGCCTCAGGCTCTCACTTAGTTTTTTCACTCAAGGCTGGTCCTCTACCACTTGAGCATGCCTCCAATTCCAGCCTTTTGCTGGTTCATTGGAGATAAGAGTCTCAGACTTTCCTGCCCAGGCTAGCTTCAAATCTCAGTCCTCGGATCTCAACTACCTGAGTAGCTAAGATCACAGGCATGATCCACTGACTTCTAATAGATTTCATAACCTAATACTAGATATCCTTCACATCTGTATTATTTGGGGGTACAGCCTGACTTTGCTCACATCTGTATTGTTCAGGGGTGCCTGTGATTTCATCACATCAGTGTTGTTTGAGGGTACTGTCTGACTTTGTTTATATCAGTACTGCCTGGGTGTACTTCAGTCTCATCTGTATTGTTTGGGGGTGCAGTCTGACAGCTCACTCAGGGCTGGGACTTGAGTTTGGTTTCCATGTTTACCCAGAAGCCTAAATAGTGCATGGCAGATAGAAACATCATGCAGGAGACTGAAATAAGTAATTAAATGTTATTTTTAAATGAATTCAATACCAAGGCAACCAATTCTAATTCCTACATCCCTAAGCTAACTTTTGGTAATCATCCTTTGGGTTTCTTTGGCATTTCACAGATGTGATTGTGTCTGTATGCAATGAGTTTAGTTTGGGTTGCTTTTGTGGGTATGTGCCAGTACTGGGGTACTGGGGCTTGAACACAGGACATAACTTTTTCATACAAGGCTGGTACTCTACCACTTGAGCCACAGCTCTACTTCTGGCTGTTTTGGTGGTTCATTGGAGATAAGAGTCACACAGTTCCTGCCTGGGGTGGGCTTCGAACCGTGATCCTCAGATCTCAGCTTCCTGTGTAGCTAGAATTAGAGATTCCCTTTCTTAAACCCACCCCCCTCTTTTTTTAGCAGTTAAGTTTTTCAAATAATTGGGCCATTTGCTTTAAAAATTTGATTCACTCAGAGCTGGAAAGGTGGCTCAGTGGTAGAGCATTTGCCTTGCATGCATGAGGCCCTGGGTTCGATTCCCCAGCACCACATAAGCAAAAAGAAAAAAGACGGAAGTGGCGCTGTGGCTCAAGTGGTAGAGTGCTAGCCTTGAGCTGAAGAGCTGAGGGACAGCGCCCAGGCCCAGAGTTCAGGCCCCACAACCGGACCCAAAAAAAAAAAAAAAATTTTGATTCACTCACTGAAAAGCAGCCAGCCAGCCTTGTCTCCTCCAAGCGGAGTTTCTTCAGGGTACCCCACAGTAAGAGACTCCCCTTTGGGGTGGCAGGGTTTGGGGACCATGCCCCCAAGTGGGCTTTCCGTGAAGAAGGTCCAGACACAGCCTCCTTCCTGACCCAGAGGTCACTAGGTTGGAGGAGAGAGGCATTCTGGGTGGCTTCTAGAGTCTTTGCTTCCTGAGGCTCTGGGGACCTTGGTGCAGGAGCAACCTCACCTGCCTGCACGCTGGGGCGGGTGTTTGCTTCCTGCCCTCCATCCTGGAACTAGAGTCGAATTACTCACAATGGTACATAAAAGAGCTTGAGGCCATGGGTTCAAATGGGCTCAAGTACTAACTGGGCTCAAGGTTGCTTTCCTTCTAGTGCTTTCCATTGTAGACAGACGGAGTTGGGTGAGACGGAGTTGGGCTGGTGTGGCGTGCAAGCAGCCCGTGCCTGACGCCCACCTGCGACTATGGTACAGGGGTCACCCTTAGCCCTCTGCCCGCGGTCTGTGTGAGGGGGTGCGCAGCAGCACACTGCCCTCCACCTGCCCCCACTTACCCTGGCGCACGCTGCTGCAAAGCCGCTAGCTCCTCTCAGGAACCTGGGGGGGTTGAGGCATGGTCATCCCTGGGAAGCGTGACCCCCACCACACATGGAGGACCAAGACCAGGCTCCCTTCCAGGCCTGTCCGTGGCCAGTTCTCCCTCAAACCCCTCCTCCTGAGTCCCCATTGCCAAATGCGAGGGCCGACTGGGGAAAGCAAATCCGCTCTGATCACAGGGAGCGAACAGAACCTTCTGCCTGCTGAGTACTGGCTTAAGTGCTTCAGGTGGACGAATCTCCTACAGTTCTCACAGACACCCTAAGGAAGGCAGAAAAGGGGGCCGTAAAATGGCGTCACAACTAGGTCTGTAGCATAGGACCTGGAGTCCTGGCAGCGAGGGTCACGAGCTCAGATGTTCAAGACTAGCCTGGGAGATGAGTGTAGCCCTGACTAAACAGCAAGAATAAATCACTTATAACCAAGTCACCTGGACAGGTCAACGCCGGGGTAAGATTGTGCCACGCACACTATGGCCACGAGTCCCTGCTCTCAACCCAGAGACTCCCAATGGCGGGCCTGTGGCACCCGTGCTCATGGCACTGAGGAGAGGCCTGGCGGGGAAGCCCGTGGTCCATGGCCTTCACCTGCACCCTTCCTGTACCAGGTCACCTTGACTTTGCCAAACCCACGGCACAGTCACAAGACAGACCCAGCACACCTGCACCAGCAGTGTCTTCACATCAGCAAAACGCCTCTCGTCCCAAGGCTCCTCCACCCCGCGCACTACAGTCTTTAAACAAACCCATCAGAACCACTGAGGACCCAAACCTGGTTCACAGAGCAGCCCCAAGGCCAAGACCAGCTCCCCGCCAGGGCCTCGTCAGGAAGGCGGGAAGCGGTGCTGGGAGGGCAGCTAGTCCTCCACAAACTCCCTCACCCCTCCCCGGAGCCAGTGCTCCCCACATTGCTGGCAGGGTGCCACAGCCCCTCTGAACCTCCACAAGCTGAGGTGGCATCAGCTGGGTAACCCAAGGCAAGGTAAGAACCAGTTCTAGAAGGCAGACATGCTCAGGTTATTGGCAACACATGAGGAGGCCAGGAAGAAGCATGTGAATGCAGAGGGAGAGACGGCCATGGGCTGGGGCTGGCCCTGACACAGGGTCTCACCCTACCTGAGACACACAAAACGGAAGCACAATTCCACAGGGAGGCTTAGCATGTGACTTCACAGATCCCCCCCCCCCCCCCCCCCCCCCCGTCTCACACATGATGCGTACGTAGGAATATGGAAAGAAGAAACGCAATGACAAGTCCAAAAATTTTTTCTTTAATAAAAATTATTCATAAAAATCCTAATAAATTTCAAAGAGCAAGATATTCCTTAGTACATTTATAAAAGAACATTTGGTCCTTCTACAAAAAGAAAAGTTCCCTTTTAATTTAAATACATTTCTTATTTACAGATTCAACATAAAATATCCTCTAGGTTTGCAAAGCATATTGCACATTACAGAGAGAAGCAGTTGTTTATTTCAGCATGTTTTCGCAGTCTCCAACTTTAGATCTTTTGTAAAAAAAAAAAAAAAAAAACAGATTTATTCTTCTCTGTGTATAATAAATAAAAATGTAGCTTTGTGTTCTGCTACTTAACACTACAACAAAATACCTTTAAAAATATGATTCCTCCGCCTCTCGGACAGCAGGGGAGAAGCCATGAGGGGGTTCCACAGGCACTAGACCATTTTTACCAGATTCACACCCAAATCTGAGTGACAGCATTTAACCTTCAGCCCCACAAAGCTGGGGACCCACGGCCTAGCCCGCCCCCCTCCCCTGCCCTGCAGGGGAGAGACTCTAGCAAGAGCAGGGTGTCAGGAACAGGGAAGCAAAGAGGAGGACCCCTTTGTCAAGTCCTTGGCTGGGCCACTCTCGGCCCGGGGTAATGTTTCTGCCCTCGTCCTAACCCCTCGCTCAGCGTGAACTCAGCCCATGAGAAGCCTCGGCAGGAAAGGAAGCTTGGAGGCCAAGGCTTCAACATCCCAAAGGGAAAAATCACACTTGGCAATCAGTTCATTCAACTGAGCTAAGGAGATAGCTGTGCAGATGTTTCTCTTTTTCAGGCGACAAGAGGGAAGGGGAATGAGGGAATGGACGGCCCGGGGTTGTGTGATTGTCCTTACCAAGCCTGGTACGGATGGGCTATGCTAACGCTCACCGGCGTGCACACACACACACACACATACCACCAAGGCGTGATTTCCTTAAAATACATAGAAGACAAGAGCAGCGTCACATGCTGTCTATGATGCAGGACAAGTAATAATAATAATAAGGCTCAGGACATCATCAGTACTTCTTTGTGCACCAGGAGAAGAGCTGGGAAGGAAGTGTTCCCCACGGCCAGGGCTTGGCCAGCCTGCTTTTCCTCACTGGCTACCGCAGAGAACAGCAGCCCCTGTCCCAGCCGGGCCCAGGCCCAGGCCACTCTGCAGCCTAACTTTGTACAGCAGTTTCACAAACCCCATTCACAACAGACACAGGTTGACAACAGACACAGGTCCTCATGGGAGCGGATGGGTAGCTCGGCCTCCTGGCCTCCACCAAGGAGGATGCTGGGCCCAAACTCCAAACTCCTGGGACACAGCACAGAATGAGGGAAAATTCTCTGAGCACCCCTCCCGCTCTGCCCTTCCCTGGCAGAGAGTTCACAACCCAGAATGGAAGATCCAGCAAGAGGCACAGAGACGCAGCACAGTTCCTGCCGGTCTGACTTGCAAAGTGGAAACAAGTCAGCTTTGCATCTGGCTCAAAGAGCCTTTTTTCTTTTTGGCAATGGTGGGGGGGGGGGGGGGGGGACAGAGGGGGGCGGAGCCTGGTCCTCAACGGTACTTGAGCATCTGGTCCCACAAAACACTGAGTTTACAAAACATCAAACGTTAGCCTGGGTGACCCTAGAAGCCCATTGTCCAGGATGACTAGAACTCATCGCTCACCCTCACCCTCAGCAACTCTAAGTCCAGTACCCGGAAGTGAACAGGACAGGTGGCACCCCTGCCTGTAGCCCTGAGATGCGAGGATGACATGGGTGAGGAGAGTGTGGCCAGGCACAGAGCCCTATTCCAAGAGCACGAAGAGGAAGCAATGGCTGAGCTGGCTCGAGAGTCAGGTGAAGGGGCCCGGGTGAGAAGCAGGTGCTGCCACGGAAGCTACAGGCGTGATGACAGACAGACAGACAGACAGACAAGACAAAGGCCTGAGGCACTCATGTCCTTCCCCCAGATGGCCCCCAGTCCCCAGTGGGTCACTCGAAGTTGCACCTCAGCTTGCCTGGAGAAAAGGTGCCAACGTCCGAGATGCATGGTCATGTGTAAGTGGCTCACGATTCTACTGGATTGATGAAAACATCTAATAGACAGAAATCCTCCAAGCTCTCTATTCAGTAGACAAGACACTGATGATCAACAGAACAATGCTTCTGAAAACAAGAGCAAAACAGGAAGCGCTTGATTTTTTTTTCTACCAAATTGCATAGTAAATGTTGGAAAGATAATACATTTCCTACTGAAAATCCCCTTTCTAAAAATGTGGAAGAACTAAAGGATACACCAATTTTCCAAACAGTAACACTTAAAATTTTCAAGAAGGAATAAAATTTCTCCCTGTGGATGGAAAATGCAAATGGCTTAGGTGGGGTTCTTTGTAGTTTTAAGAGGACTGAAAAGAAACCTGCAGAAATACACGAAAGCGGATGCCAGGGGCTGGTGCTCACCAAGACTGCTACCCACCCTTCAGTCAGACACCTTCCTGCCAGGTAAGTGCACCAGGCCAGGCTCCGAGCAGACCCAGCCCCACCTCGGAGGAGCCTCAGGGTGTGTTCTGACTAAGGTAACAGCAACGAAACGAAACCCAGCTTCTTCCCCCTAGGTGGCTAAAAGAAGAGGATGAAAGGCAAAGGTGGACCAACTAATTCCCAAAATCTTCCTCACACCCACCCCATCCTCCTTTCATTGCTGGTCCCACTCAAGGGCAATACAAAGCACCTGCAACCACGGCAAGACCTGTGGCAACCAACGGCCAAAACCAAAACCTGTGTAAGGCACTAAGCGAGGCCTGGTGCACAGAGAAATGGCTCGAGGACATCAGAAAGTCATCTGATCCCTTCTTTCTCCCTGATTATGCGATTTGGCACTAAACACAGGCAACAAAAACAAAACGCTAAGAAGGAAGAATCTAGAATCCTCGGCTAGGAAAAAGAGAAAGATGGACGCTTAGACAACCTAGGGTTTTGTTTTTTTCTCCCCTAGAAGGCACCTGGTTCTGGAACTACCGGAGTTCTGCAGGTAATTTTCATGTGTGAAATGAATGCAAAACACAATCCCACAGAACTGTTGGCTAACCGCTGACATATACCACGACATAACAACTGAAAAGACCATTGGTCAGAATTCTACTTCCACCCATATTCACAAGCAAATGGTTCTAACACTGGGCAGATGAGTTGAAGGCATATAAAACAACTGCATGATTTTCTCCCCACGTGATCTAAAAAAAAAATCACAGCTGCACATCTAAGGAGAACCTAACGATGCTGTAGGAGCAGAAAGGGTGCCGTTTTTAGTGCAGTAAGTAGGAGTCAAGTGCCCCTTGGGCGTGTGGATAGGAATCTCATTTCCTATTCCCTAACAAAGAGGTAGCAATACCGCAGAATGGCCAGTAGTGGTGCAGTAGAGACTTCTGAATTCCAAACAGGAAGCTGGGCAGATGTGCTTAACAACAGAATTGTGTCAGTGTGTCAGCCAGTTTTCATGTATCTTCTCATTTCTAGTGATATTACTAAGAAAAAATAGGGCATTTATTGAACAGAAGGGAAACACTGAAGTGTGCAAGAATGAACCACATGAACCAGCTGTGGGTGATGGATTAGACAGAACTTCCACACGGTGCCGTGCAGTGAGACGCCCATCCCTCCACTGCACACTGGATGGTCAGGGTTTACTTGGTTAGGTCTGGTGGAAGATGAAGCAGGGACAAGCGGATCATATCAAGCCAACCATCTGGTCGATCTGACGCATATAGACGCTCTTCAAGGGCAGAAAGTATCTCCTCTCATCCGGAACGCGATTGCACTAGAAAGACAAGAGAGGGAAAACGTGAATTTGCAATGAAAGAAATCTACATGACAGGGTTGGAGGCATGGCTCAGTTGGTAAGGCACTAGCCAATGAGTGAAAATGGCAGGTACTGAGTTCGAGTTCTGGTCTCAGACCTAAAAAGATAACAATAATTAAAATCAGCAGGGCACCAAATGGCTCATGCCTGTAATCCTAGCTACTCAGGAAGAAGCTGAGATTGAGGAAAGTGGGTCAAAGCCAGCCCAGGAAGTCTGTGAGATTCTTATCTCCAATTAATCACAGAAAGAGCCAGAAGTATCACTATAGCTTAAGTGGAAGAGCACTAGCCTTGAGTAAAAGGAGCTCAGGGTAGCGTTCATGCCCAGAGTTTGAGCCCCAGGACCGACCAAAAAAAATTAAAACTAAAATTAAAATAAGAACCTACATGTTGGGCTGGGAATATGGCTTAGTGGTAGAACACTTGCCTAGTATGCATGAAGCCCTGGGTTCAAATCCTTAGTACCACATATAAACAGAAAAGGCCAGAAGTGGCGCTGTAGCTCAAATGGTAGAGTGCTAGCCTTGAGCAAAAATTCAGGGACAGTGCCCAGGCCCTGAGTTCAAGCCCCAGAACTGTGATCTCTCCAGAAACGTGGTTGGATGAGCTGGTCCGGGTTTATCAACCTAGGCAGAAGTGACCTTTTGAGATTCTGTGTACAGCAGGATGGCCGGCTGAGCAATGCGCTTGACCTCTCAACTTGCACTCAAGTCCACAGGGTGGCAACCCTACCTATCTCCAGACACTACTGTCCAGCATCCACAGAAGAGCAAAAATCGCTCCTGAATGAGGACCGCTGCTGAGGTCCAAGGTCCACGCTTTCTAGGTAGAGAGGTGGCGAGATCCAAGGAGGCTGTGAGACATCCATCGGAGATATCCTGAACACTGCCAGAACTTCAGCAACATCTTCTCCAGGTGAGGTCTTCTTGTCCTCCACAGTCACACTCTTGCTGTTCATTAGGGCCTGGGTCACAGCCTCAGAGGACCTGCTCATCGGGGATTCCCTCCCACTCTGGGCCACCCATACCCAGGCTCTCCATCCCTTTAAAGGGCCGTCTCCCAATCAGGTCCTAGCTGTTAGTGACTGTGGCAGGTCAAAGGTTAATCCTGGGTCCAAATCCTGGCTCCACTGTGACTGAAACCTCAGTGCCACCCGGTATTCCCCGGTAAGATGAGATCGTAAATGCCTCCCTCAGGGCTGTTGTGAGAAGTAGACAGGATTCAGAGCAGAACCCGGCACAGGGTAAACATTCCATGAGTGTTGCCAATGCAGTGACAGTTTCCCCTCCTCCTCTTCCCCTTCCCTTCCCAAGGGCACCATGTTCCCCCTATCAATCAGCCATGGCCAAGTAGAAATCTGGGGTCCGTCTATGCTCTAGCCTTCGGTGTGGCTCAGGACTCCCACTAAAGGAGAAGCACAGAGAGAGGGCCTCTAACCGGCGATGGGGTGGGACGTGCAGCAGCAGACCTGACAGGGAAAGCTGAGTCCTGAGAAAAGCGGTGACGGCCAAGGCACTGTGGGGCAAGACTGGAGAGCTCCACAACCCAGGGCCCACTTCCCAGCCATGGCCACCTGTCCGGCCCGACCCAGCTGCCTGGGGAAATGGATTTCCACATCTTCCCTGCTGCACGGCAGGCAGGATCGTCCACGCATGCTGAAGCCCTATGTAAACTGAGACAGGATGGCCGCTGCGCTCTGGGCGGTGATCTCATCTCATCTCCACGTGACTGTGCCTCCTGCTCCTCCAGCGGGTGATTCTGCGGCCCCTCCGGGTCCACTCTCTGCTATACTCCACCTCTCCGGCCCTCAGGAAGGTGATCTGCCGGATTACATCATCGCAACCCTGGCAGCCAAGTGCCAGCAGCAGACCAGGAAGAGGAAGCAGAAAGGGCCAAGTGTTAACCTTGCTGGCTGGCTCCCTTGCTGTGTAGTCCCAGGGCCTAGCCAGTGCTCCCCCTCCAAGACTCTGATGATGGCGCTGCTTCCTGGTCCCCATGAATACCAATGCTAGAAAAAAAACAGAAAACAACAACTCACGTTGGAGCTGGAGTTGATGACTTTCACCTCGTGAGACTTGGGCCTGGGCACAGACTTTCCCTCATGGTCTTGCCCTCTGTCTTCAGAGAAGAACTCCTTCCAGGGCAGTTCCCGAAGGTGCTTGTCCACAGATATGATGTGGCCTTCCGTGGTAAACATGTATCTCGTTCCAGACTTGTGGACTGGATTCTCCTCGTCAAACAGCTGGATGGAAGAAGGGGACAAGAAAAACAGAGATATAACTGGGACCGGGGGATCGTCCCAGTGGCAGAGCACTTGTCTAGCATGTGCTGGGCCACGGGTTGAATCCCCAGAATAGAGGCGGGGAGGGGGTGGAGGGAGGGCTGTTGTTGACCACAGAATATCTGGAGCTAGCTCATAGAGAAGTGTCCCAGATGCCCAGATGGCAAAAGCAGGTGAAAAGTATGGATGAATAAATAACCCTGGCTCCTGACCCTTGAATTGCAATACAGGATCATCTGTTTCTGTAAACTCCCAGGGCCATATCTCCAATCCCTACACCTGACCCAGACCAGGAGATTTAGAAACCCAAGGACAGGAAGGTTACAAAAGCTCCCTGGAAGATTCCCAAACACCTTCCTAAAACCGGTCAGGTCACCTCACACACACCCACGTCCCAAACAGGAGGCGCTGGCCAGAGGATTTTGCCAACAGTTCTTGCATGGGACCGCAGTGGCACACAGGCCTGGCTCTTAAGAGGGACGTGGCAGGCATGGAAGGAGGACAATGCACGCATCCTAGCCCCATTGGGGGAAGGCAGTGGGCAGAAGGCAAGTTCCTTCTGACAAATGCTGGATACAAGAATAAAGTAGCCTGACTATATCCACGGAAAACCGAAGAAGGCCTAAAACCACAGATCCTACAGAACAACACATGCTACACCTTTCTACTATACATTCTGTGAGAGTTTAATATGTCAGCCAGGCACAGTAAGAGACAAACAACAATTAAGCATAAAATAGGACAATCCTAGCCATATACTGCTCTGGAAGTTTGTGTGTTTTTAAAACCTATGCCTGATTTCTAGACTCTTCCGTTTTCAGACTGCGTCACCCATGGGTTGGTCGTTCCCAGCACCTGAACAATTCGTAATCAGAAGTTCATTTGCTGTTTACTTGATAAACAACTCCACCAGGAGGCTCGAACTATAAAGATAATGTCAGCAATCACGTCCTTTTGTCCTGTCAGTGCTTTGTCAGCAGGGAATGTAAAAGGTCCCAACAGTTCACTTTGCAGCACACGTACCAGATACAAGTATTTGCAGGTCTCACTGAGAAAGAAGCTCTCCATGCGGTCCTCTTTGGACTTGTCTATGACGTGATGCAGTGTGGCGTACCCGCATCTACGAAATAACAGCAGTGAGTCCTGCCCAGTCCTCTGGTCCATTAATGCCAGGAGCGCCAGGACTCTGGTAACGGAAGAACCAGCCACATCTTCCAAACCCATGTCATAAATGAAGCATATGATATGGAAGGGCTATTCCTTTTCCAATCTGGATAGTTTACAAATTTATTTATTTATTTATTTTGTCAGTCATGAGGCTTGAATTCCAGGCCTGGACGCTGTTCCTCAGCTCTTCAGCTCAAGGTGAGCGCTCTGCCACCTGAGCCACAGTGCCACTTCCACTTTTCTGGTGGTTCATTAGAGATAAGAGTCTCATAGACTTTCCTGCCCGGGCTGGCTTTGAACTGTGATCCTGAGATCTCAGCCTCCTGAGTAGCTAGGATGACAGGTGTGAGCCACCGGTGCCTGGCTAAATTTACTTTTAAAAGCGGTTTGGCTGTTTCCTCATCGGGTTAGTTCCAGGCTAGAGAGGGTAGGAGGGAAGCGAAGGGTATTTGCCATAAGCATGACATCGCATCAAGGAAATGACTGGCAATAAATCTAGGATTGATTTAAAACTATTAATTTCCATATCTGCAGAACTGACTTATTATCTGGGGATCATAAATTTTAGTATCTTCTAAGAAAAACATGAATTCCTGGAAGGTAAAAATCTCTAAAATGCAGGCCACAAAATTCAGATATATAATATGTATGCATAGTACATATATGGATGTGTACACACAACATGCACATAAACATATTTAAAAGACAGATAGAGTTAAATGCTAACTATGGTTATATCTCTGTAGGTGAGAACCACAAGCATAACACATTACATTTTCATGTTTTCTGTATTCCGTAAATGTTTTAGTGTACAATTTACATAACATGGGGAAATGAATTACTAAAAAAGAATATAGTCTGCTAAAACTTTACAGAAAAAAAAAAAGTGGGGGAGGGGACAAAGAAAAAAACGTAATTCCCATTGTAAAGGACAGATTCTGCCATACCAAAAGATGAACGATTGTTATAGAAAACTCACGTGACTGAAAATTAACTACACGACTTGTGGGAGAGAAGAGTTGGAAGGGAAAAAAACTAGCAGAAAACAAGGGAAGAGATGACACTGATCATAAAGAAACACACTTATTACCTGACCTATGTAACTGTAACCCCTCTGTACTTCACCTTCACCATAAAAATAAATTTAAATACAAAAAAAGAAAATTAATGTGAATAATCTCTTCTACAAATTTCAAAGGCAAACTGGGATATTCGCACGCGCGCACACACACACACACACACACACACAAACACACAACTTGAAATACGGCGCAAGTGGCTAGAAAAGCAAAAGGAAGGAAGGGAAACGCAGAAGACTGACTTGACTTTCGTGTATTTCTCCAGACTCTGAAGAATGTCCTTCCCGACGTGGAGGTAGAAGGGATTCTTGGTGGCCTGGAAAGAACAAGAGAGAGCGTGACCATCATCAGATACCACCGTGACTCCACAGGAGACAAGTCACCAGCCAAGGATGGGAGGAACAGGGCGGGCCTTACTTCATTGTGATGGGTCAAAGGTTAAAGGGCGATGGCGTTCTTTCTGTCACACAGGACCAAATGTATCTGTAACTGGTTTAAACTCAACTAGGGTGAGGAAATCTATTCCAGAGTAGAACAGCGCTCTGCTTTGGCTCTTCTGATGCCCACACCGTGTTACAAGTGAAATAATAATGCCCACCCCGACAGGACCACATCTGACATCGAATCCAATTTCTAGCTAGACATTTTCAGATTTGGGCACAAGGGTCTAAGACCTTGTCTCGCGCCAACTGGCGCACTATGAAGAGAGGCGCAGGGGAGCAGGAGTGTGCTAGAAGACAGTTATTTAAAGGAAGCCTCCACACGTTCCTGTCTATTCGCCCCAGAAAAATCAGTCCACGGGGCGCATTCTCCTCTGTGGCGGGCTCTCAGATGCTCTGTTGGGGGTCATATTTAATTCACATCTATTGCTGACCTGCAGCAGCAAAAGCAAACAATCAGCCTAGGCATGACTTCAGAGGGAAAATCTGTAAAGCAAAAGACGGCTCTAGATCAGAAGAAAATAGCATGCATAAGAAGTTGCAAATAGGAAAGAGGTAAAAGACACACACACACACACACACACACACACACACACACACACACACACACACACACACACACACACACACACACACACACACACACGAGGATTAAGCCACAGAGAAGCCAGGTGGCAGCAGGCTAGCCATCCTGCACAGCTTCATGCCAGGCTGGGCTCAAAAGGGCGGAGGAAAAGATCGCCTTTCTGTTTATGGAAGTCATGTAAAATCCACAAGGGCGTTGCTTTAGGCATAAGGACTATTAAAAGTTTCACAGGATTGGTAGAGCGCTTGCCTTGAGCTGAAGAGCTGAGGGACAGCGCCCAGGCCCAGAGTTCAAGCCCTACGACTGACAAAAAAAAAAAAAAAAAAGTTTCACAGGATCTCCCCCCCCCCCCTTTGTTTTTCATCTAGAAGCTAGTGGCAATGACTAAGTAGTTAAGCAAAATAGTTGAATAAAGTTACACCAGTATAGTAATCCTATTCCCAGACTTTGTAAGCATCAGGGTCTTAGGCTTGCTCACTGCAGATTACTGGCAGGCCTACTGAACTGCACTGAAGGCTAGCTTCTTGGAAAACTAAGAGCTTTGCCTCAGTTTCTTGTGAATAGGAGAGGACCCCAGTGTGTATACATGAACAGCATGTACATCTTTATCTTCAGCTGTCGGAGAAAACATTTCACAGTTAAAGAACATTCCCTCTGGCAGTAAAGTAATTGCATAAAATATGAACACTATATATTTTTTTTTAATATTAAACAAAAATAGGCATTCAGCTGAATCCCAGATGCCTTCGACTACAAACAAGAAACAATATTTTTTTGTCTGAACAGCTATCATATAGATCAGGGTTCCATAACACATTGGTACGGAACTGCATCTCAAAAAGGGCTCTTGGGTCAAAAAGATTTGGAACGCAATGAGAATGAAATCTTCCTAAGTATTTAAAATGTGGTGAATCTTAGAGTAGGACAGGATTCTTTGCAAAACGTGACATTGAAAACATTTGGCTTGCCAGGCACTGGTAGCTCACGCCTATAATCCTAGCTATTAAGGAGGCTGAGATCTGAGGATCATGGTTCAAAGCCAGCCTGGGCAGGAAAGTCTGGGAGACTCTTATCTCCAATTAGCCACAAAAAGCCAGAAGTGGTTTAAGTGATAAGAGCATTTTCCTTGAGCACAGGTCAGGGACAGCATGCAGACCCAGAGTTTGAGCCCCAGGACTGGCATAACAAAAAACAAAAAAAAAATCGGCCACAGATGCTTTCTCTGTCCTGTGGAACCATGAATAAAACCACGTCTGCAGACAGGAGGCCAGTCTCTCAGATCACCATGAGACAATATACTAATGTTTCCTAAACTCTAGTACCTGGTAGAGGAGATACGTGGATTCCACTAACTCCGGTCGCAGAGGGTAGAAGAGAACATCGGGGGCCTGCAGCTGCCAGTTATACCGCTCAGGGAGGGCCCCGTACCGTTTCCATATGGCATAATAAAAGGCATGGAGGCAGATGGCATCTTCCACATCTCCTATGAGAACCTGAGGCAAGGACACAGGGCATCATGAGGCCTCGTCATTGGTTTCAGAGCAATGAGAAATCACACAATGATCTTGGGCCCACCTCTCCTCTCTTTCCCATCCAATCCACACACACTAACCTACACATACAGCCAGAGACAAAACCAATCCCAAAGCGGACCACTCAGACACACAGATGTGTCCGCCCTCTGTATCTGCCCACCATGTCCACACGGCTGTGACCTGCACAGAAACAGTCCAACGACGCCTCAACGGACATGAATTATACAAATGCCTGACGCAGCTCGTTCTCAGGCATGCTTTGGTACTTATTTAGTGGTGCCCTGTCCAATACTCTAAGGACTGACTTCATAAGCAGGCTGATCAGAAGCTAAAGAAGAAGGTGGGTGGGGTAAGGTGGGACATTCCTTTCCAGTGATCGCTTGTTCTGAGCAGAGCACGATACCTGCAGTCCAGGGAAGAAGGCCTGCAGGGAGTCAATCCAGGTGTTCATAAGCTGCCCGCTGAACATGTTCACGTTGACGTAGAGCGGGGGGTCTCCTTCTCCTTCGTTACAGGCTTCCCGTCTACAAGGGCAAGCAGCGTATGTGCAACCGGGAAGGGGAGGCTCATGATCCTCTAGCACTCACAGACACACTCATTTAAAAAGGAACAACTAATCAACTAACTTCTTTCCTAATGCCTTCTTTCAACTGTGAAGACTGCCTCAAGACGCACAAAATAAGAATTCTGCGCTCAATTCTTCTAACATTCAGATTTCATTGCATTCTTCAGAAAGCACTTGAACAATCAAGTGCAAGAAGACTGCAGTGGCCAGACATTGGAAGTTCACACTAGAATCGCAGCTCCTCAGGAGGCCGACACGCAGAGGACCACCGTGAGACGCCAATCCAGACAAAGAGGTCCATGGGATTCCAGCAAAATGCTGTGACTCCAGTAGTAGAGTGCACAAGAAAGCAAAGGAGTGCGAGTCCCTGAGTTCAACACCCTCAACAAACAACAACAAAAAGAAAACCCTGGCATGTGATAGTTCATACAGAGTATGGCCTACCTTGGATCTGACCTGAGTGTGGAAAGCTAGTTCCTTCTACACAAACAAAGTCTGTTCCCTGGCCTGGAGGTCCACAGGGCTCATTACCCAAACTAGTTTGGATCTCTGAAAAACAAAATGATTCACCTCTGGCTGAACACTCACTCGCCTACGTTAAGTATAGCACTCACACAAGTGGCTCCCATAATGACTACTGGAGAAATGGGTCCACAACAATCTTGTGAAGCAGGACACTCAGCAGCTATTACGGCAACAACCATGAGCTACATGGACACCTGAGAAACACCTGAGGGAGGCGGCGTGGCTGTAGGGCAGAAGCCATGGTAGCTTCAAGTGGCTCTGGATAGCTCACGCATGCTCCCTCCGCTGATGTCTGAGAGAGGCCAATGATGTATTTTAAACAAATTCAGAGGGGCACAAACAGAACCGTCCTCGTCTGCCAAATATAAACACCAATCCAAGAAGAAAACTAACTCAAAAATGGTCCTGTCACATACAACTCTACCTGCAGCTAAGTCTGCAGTTAAGAACAGGAGTGTTTTCTCCTCTCTGGTATCAATCTCTAATATGGTTGGATTACCTCTACCTGCTGATAGGCACATGCCTGTATATCGTAACGTATCCGGTGACCAATAGTTTGGTGAAAGGTTGGCACAGCCTTCACAGACTAAGTCTACAAATTACCATTTTCTCTGTCCAGCTGCCATGGGTTACCTCTCCACAGACAAAGATACACACAGCCCCAGCCGCCACGGTGAGCCTGGAGGGGTCTGATGGTGTCTCAAGCCCTGACATGGCTACAGCCCTGACCAATAGCTTGATGGCAGACTTTGTGCAAGAGTCTGAACCAGCCGGGCACCAATGGCTCAGGCCTGTAATCCTAGCTACTCACGAGGCTGACATCTGAGGATCATGGTCCAAAGCCAACCCCGGCAAGAAAGTCTGTGCGACGCTTATTGCCAATAAACTACCATAAAACTCAAATGGTAGAGCGCTCACCTTGAGCTGAAGAGCTCAAGGACAGCGCCCAGGCTCAGAGTTCAAACTCCACGACCAACAATAACAACAACAACAAGAAAGAGTCTGAACCAGAACGTCAGCTCAGTTGCTCTCAGATTCATGGCCCCCCAGAACCCTATTGGGTGGTGTTCTTGTTTCTATTATTATTTTTTAAAGCCATTGGCTTTGGTAGTTAAGGGCACCTAGTACAGGGTCTCAGGCCCAGATGACTGACAAATAGCTAACAGAGACAGGAAGGGGAAGGCAAAGACAGACCCCGACCACCCTGGGAGCATTTGGGAACACCCACTACTTGCAAACATACCCTCTTCTCAAGTAGTTCTGAATGCTCTGATATGCAGCATTAAACATTTCCAGGTCTTCTGTTTCTCCAAAGAGGATGTAAGACTTCAACAGGTATTCGTAGAAGGAGTCCAACCCAGCACCCAAGCCACTCTGCTTCCCAACCCAGTGGCCCGTCTGGATGTTCACAACGTTGCCTGTGGAGACAAAGGGTACACTTCAGATGCTGGGTATCATGAGGGGGAAAGGGTCAGGCCCTCAGGTTCAACCCCACTGCTCCTCAGTGCCAGTAGGTACCAGGCATGAATGCTCCGTCTTAAATTGTATTCAGTCCTATCAGTGACTCGGAATGCTTAGGGATCTTTTTATAATACATGGACGTACATACATGAATATACACACACACGATAGGTAGGCAGATAATGGGTACACAGATGAGAGAGAGAGGATAGGGATATGATAGAAGGTAGACAGATGATGGATAGGTGAGCATGGGACAATAATGCAAACGAAAAATAAGTGTCATCTTCCCCAGTGTGACAACACATTTCAAAGCCTAGAAGAGTATCCATAGCCTTTCACCCAGTACGCCCAATCCTGCGTATTTGTCCTGGAAAAAAAACAAAAACAACCTTTTTAAAAAGAAGGTCAAGTGGGGAGGCACACCTGTACGCCAGCAAGTTCCAGGCCAGCCTGGCGACAGAGCAAGAACCACTCACAAAACACAACAAAACGCCTTGTGGTGTTCATCAGACCACAAAATAGAAAAGCAGGGGGAGGGAAAAGGAGGAGAGAAAACATAATCTAAGTGTCCAACACCAGAAAAAGACAATTATGTAGCTCTCAGAAATGGGAACTATGACCAAGTTTCAGTCTGAAACAATGGCATGATTTGCCAAATGTAAGACACGATACCATTAACATACTATTGAAAATATACACAAGCTCCACACAGAAGGTTAAAAAAGGCCTTTGAAAAGCTAGAACCTGACAGTCAACCACTGGCATTTTAAATGACACTATTTGGGGGTTTTGTTTATTTGCTTTTGCTTATGTTTAAGGCTAGCCTTAAACATAATCCTCTTGCCTCTGCCTCCAAAAATAAGATTATAGGTGTGTGTTTTTCTCTGTGTATGTGTGAATGTTCTAGTACTGGGCCTTGAACTCAGTACTTCTTGCTCTCACTCAGTTCTTCCTGCTTACAGCTAGTATTCTACACCTCTCCACTGGTAAGAGTCTCTAAGGTTTGTCTGCCCAGGCTGGCTCCAAACCTCACTTCTGAAATCTCAGCCTCTTGAGTAGCTAGGATCATAACAGACATAAACCACTAGTATCTAACTAACTGTATAAAAGTCTTAAAACATTAAGAGAAAATAAAAATATACCACTTCAAAAATCTTTTTTAACAACCTACTGTTGTTAAATCAAAATTACTTCCCAATGCCAAAATGAAGTTTAATCCCAAATAAGACAGTTATATGAGGTGAAAAACCATTTTAAGCCAGGCACTGTAGTGCATGCCTATAATCCCAGCACTCAAGTGGCTGAGGCGGGAAGAATCCAAGTTCAGGGCAGTCTAGACTACATAGCAAGACACCATCTCAAACACACACACACAGACACACACACAACACAATTTAAACAATATTCTGAGTTAGCAAAACACAAACAACTACTAAACATGAAGGATGAACTCACGGTTTATTATTCATGATACTACTGACTATAATAATGATTGAAAATCGCTATGATAATTTTTTTTTGGTCATTCTTGGGACTTGCACTCTGGGCCTGGGTTGTTGTTCCTCAGCTCTTCAGCTCAAGGTTGGCGCTCTACCAATTGAGCCACAGAGCCACTTCCAACTTTCTGGTGGTTAATTAGAGATAAGAGTCTCATGGACTTTCCTACCCGGGCTGGCTTTGAACCATGATCCTCAGATCTCAGCCTCCTGAGTAGCTAGGATTACAGATGTGAGCCATCATGCCCAGCTCCATGATAATTTTTAATTATCTTTTTTTTTCTTTTTGTGCCAATACTGGGACTTGAACTCAGGACCTGGGCACTGTCCCTGAGCTTTTTCACTTAAAAACTAACGCTCTACCACTTGGGCAACACTTCCACTTCTGGCTTTTTTTTGCTAGTTAATTGGTGCTAAGAATCTCAGACTTTCCTACCTGGGCTGGGTTTAGAACTGGGATCCTCAGATCTCAGCTTCCTGAGTAGCTGAGATTACACAGCAGTTTGAAATATCTCGACTACACACCGTCACACCCACGATGGGTTTAGGCTAGCCTTTCCATCGGCTACTCCTCACCTAGATTTCTTTTTTTTTCTTTAAGGCAAAAGCAGCTCCACTGGGAAATACGCTACGTTTAAAAGCTTAAACTGGAACAGTCACTCTGCCCCGCCGGCACTTCCTTTAGCATTTCCATTTAACAATCGTTTTCAGTATGCCAAGGGACCCAACTGCTAAGGGATCTCCACCAAACAACAAAGTATTTTGTTTCCGCCAAACCCCACAGCTTCAGCCTAAGCGAAGGGTCACCCAAAGGTACGGGGTCTGGCTCTGAGAGCTGCCGGTGCCGGGGGACCCAAGGGCAGGAGGAGCCGCGCCGCACCTAGTAGTCCCGTATCATTGCTCCGGAGGTTCCAGAGGGCTTTCACCGCTCGTCTGGCAACCCACTCAAATGTGGAATCTCCTAGCAGCCGGCTCAGGATCCCAAACTCCACCAGGAGGGAGCCAGCTCCGGCCGTGCACGTCTCATTACGGCTGTCGGGAGGAACACCTGTCTTTAGATTCACCTGGGGACAGGAAGAGCCAAAGGTTATATGGCAGCCGGGGGGGAGATCGCCCACACTGTGATCATCTAGCACTCAGGAAGCTGCAACGGCAGGATCAGAAGTTCAAGGCTAGCCTGGGCTCAGGTTGGGCTCTTAGAAGAGATCCTGACTCTAAAGAACAAAAAAACTATGATAGCAAAACTCATGAACGCACAGGGCCTGGAAGTCAATCACAGAGAGGGCGCTGAGCTAATGGATCAAGCTGACGCCTGCCATGCTGCCCCCAAGAGGAACGCAAACAAGACAAGAGGAGCGCTGGAGCTGGGGCTGGAAGAGTGGTTCAAGAGGCAGAGCACCTCCCTGGCTAGTGCAAAGACCTGGGTTCAAACCCCCTGGTGTCCCAAAGAGCCAGAGTTGGGGGACAGATGAGATCACTCTTCCCTAAAGCTTCCCTTCCTAGCAGGTGTTCTCTGGAATTGCACAACCGTGTGAGCCAGGGAACACTAGAGCCACACAATCACAACTGAGCCTCAAGCCAGACACCAGGAACTCACTCCCGCTCAGCAAGTCTGACTGGGCCACGAGGGAGCTGGCCTGAGCCAGGCAGCTTCACCACTGAGGCTCGGAGGCCTGCCAATTCACACCCCCACACCCCTCACACCCCCTCACCCCCCACACCCCCCACACTCCCACCCCTGATACCTAAAAAACTGACTCAACCCCCAGAGGCATTAAGGCTTGGCAAGTCAAACGCCATTGATACCGTCTTCTTCCAGACCTTGTAGTTTAATCAGCCTCTAACTTGCTGGTCTATGAGAGCTTTATCCCAAATCCACGGGAAGCCTTCAAAGAAAGGCCAAGCTCCGGCAGTACACACGTGAAGGTCCTGGGGAAACTCGTCCATGTCAGAATGAAGAAAAATAACCACACTATTTGGTAGCAGGGGACAGAAACCTCAGTGTTAGAGGATTCAGGAATATTGAACCTGGAAGGGGAGGAGAAGGGAGGGGAGGGGAGGGGAGGGAAGGGGAGGGGGAGGGAGGGGAAGGGAGGGGAGGGGAGAGGAGGGGAGGGGAAGGGAGGGGAAGGGAGGGGAGGGGAGGGGAAGGGAGGGGAGGGGAAGGGAAGGGTTGGGAGGGGACAGCCATAGTGCTCAGTAAACGTGGAATGAAGACTCCACATTATTCATATATATTTAGGACCGAATTCTCTCCAAGCAAACTGCTTTCCTCTTCTACCTCAGCCCATTCCTTTCTAGCAGTCAAAGAACTTGAATTCAGATCTCCTGGCATAATTAATATACCCTTTCAAGAAAATGAATGGCAGACTGCTGTGGGGGATGGGAGGGGGAGGGGGAATGCGTGGAAGTGGGTGAAGTATGCAAAGTTTACTGCAAAGCCAGCTGAAGTTATTTCAAGATGGGGGGTGCGGTTTGATGGGGGTACAGCATATGGAAAGATCACAAGGAAGCCCCCCCCTACTTGTACAGTTAACATCACTGAAAACAATCTATTAAAAGAGAGCAAGTTAACAGGAGAAACCTACCCGTGGGTAGGGGATGCCGGTCTTGGTGTTTTCAAAGGCCGGGAGGAGCCGCACCGCCAGGTCGTGGGCCAGATGCAACAACTCATTATCATAATCTTTAATGGTCATGTCACCAAAGGGCTGCTTGGAGTCAGTTATTATTCTGTGGGCAGAGAGGAGGCTTCCCAGAACCCTAGTGGCAGGAGGAACAGAAAGAGATCAAATTAAATCACGCTGCTTTTGAGCAGATACGATCCATCGAGAACAGGAAGAGCAGCCTCTGGTTCTTCGGGGACCCCAGGCTGCAGGAAAATGGACTCCTGAAGTCATTTAGTCATTTCCTGCTCTAATAAGTGACTGCTGCTTAGTTCACCTCATTATTGAAATAACCACACATCTGCAGTCACCGAGAACGAAACACTCCTGGATTTCTCTGCCACCCGGCTCAGGGCAAGGGTGAAGAAGGCTGGGAAGCCAGGAGAAAATGGCCTAGTCAGAGAGAACAAACTCCCGGCATAGATCTACTCCCGCAGACACACGAGAGCCCATTACAATCATCTGAACTACAGTATTATTATCCTGTATTTTTCAAAACAAACCATTTCATAACTTTTTTTTTTGGTCAGTCATGGGGCTTGAACGCTGGGCCTGGGCACCGCTGTCCCTGCGCTCTTCAGCTCAAGGTGAGCGCTCTACCACTTGAGCCACAGCACCACTTCCAGTTTTCTAGTGGTTTATTGGAGATCAGAGTCTCACAGACTTTCCTGCCCAGACTGGCTTTGAACCTAGATCCTCAGATCTCAGCATCCTGAGGATTATAGGCGTGAGCTACCGGCTCCTGGCACTTCCCGGCCCCCCCCCCCCCCCCCCCCCCCCCCCGGTCAGGTCCTAGGGCTTTAACTCAGGGAGTAGGTGCTGTCCCTTAGTTTTTATGCTCAAAGCTAGAGCTCTACCACTTACTTAAGCCACAGCTCTACTTCCAATTTGAATGTGTGTGTGTGATTAACCGATGATAGGAGTCTCCCGGACCTTCCTTCCTGCGGGGGGCTAGCTTTGAACCATGATCCTCATATCTCTGCCTCCTGAGTGGCTAGGATTACAGAGGTGAGCTATTGACTTCAGGCCATAACTTTTTAAAATAAATATTGCATCTAGAAACTAGAATGTCATGCAGTAATGCAATTTTCCAAAAAAAAAAAAAAATTAGGAAAACAGCCATAATATATCAAACTAAAGAAAGCAAGATACAGCCGGGCGCTGGTGGCTCACGCCTGTAATCCTAGCTACTCAGGAGGCTGAGATCTGAGGATCGCGGTTCAAAGCCAGCCCGGGCAGGAGAGACCGTGAGACTCCTATCTCCAATAAACCACCAGAAAACTGGAAGTGGCGCTGTAGCTCAAGTGGTAGAGCACTCGCCTTGAGCTGAAGAGCTGAGGGACAGCGCCCAGGCCCAGAGTTCAAGCCCCACGACCGACCAAAAAAAAAAAAAAAAGAAAGCAAGATACAAAAGGAGGTAGATAGCATGATTCTAAAACATGTAACAAAAAAGAGATTAGAGAGAAAGATATAAAAAGGAAATACAAGAAAATACCAAACTGTTTTTTCTGTGACTGGAGAGACCAGCAACCCTGTGTTCTTCAGAAATATGTACACAGGAAAGAAAAGACCAGACATAAAAATCATGAATGGCTGGGATGTGGCTCAGTGGCAAAGCATTTGCCCAGCATGTACGATGTCCTGGCTTCGATCCCCAGTACCAAAACATAAGGAAGGAAGGGAGGGACGGAGGGAGGGAGGGAGGGAGGGAGGGAGGCAGGCAGGCAGGCAGGCAGGCAGGCAAAAAATAAATAAAATAAGAAGAAGCAACAATGAAACTGTGAACTAGCTGGACACCAATCTTAAACTTCCATTAAAACATGGCAGCTCACGGCTACAATCCTAACAACTCAGGTAAATATTGAGAGGATTGTAGCTTCTGCCATGAAAAAAAAAATTACAAGGCTGAGCCCTGGTGGCTCACACCTGTAATCCTAAACTACTGAGGAAGCTGAAATCTGAGGATCAAAGTTCACAGTCAGTGCCAGCAGGTAAGACTGTGAAATTCTTAGCTCCTATTAACCACCTAAAGATGGGAAGTGGGCTTTTGGTTCAAAGTGGTAGAGCACTAGCCTCGAGCAAAAATGCTCTAGGACAGCACCCAGGCCTTGAGTTCAAGCCCAAAGACGGACAAAAAACAAAAATATTTACAAGACCTCATCTTACACAATAAAAAGCTGAGTGTGGTAGTGCATACTGCCTGCTACTCAGGAAGTATAAATACAAGGATCATGGTCCATACAGACAGGGAAATAAACACATGACCCTATCTAAAAGAAAACCAACTGAGGCACAATGGGTTGGAGGTGTAGATCAAATGGTAGAGAGGTCCTGCACAGCAAGCAAAAGGACTTCGTTCAAACCTCAGGATCATTTAAAACAAACATACAAACAAAAACCAAAACCCAAAAGGTAAATGTATCTTTCTGAGCAGTTCAAAAGGTGATGATGACTTTAGAACATCACTTAAAGGCTAGTTTTTATAAGTACTAAAATGGAGATGAAAACTGAAAACTACGCCCTGCTCCCATCAGGTCAGTATGGACTCTCCACGGACTCGGGGCTGGGAAAAGCCACGCAGGCATGCGCCGCGCTCATGCTCAGGCTTTACCTTATCGTGGCTTCAAACACCTGGACAGTGGAATCTTTGTCAAACGAGACGGTGTTGATCACTAACTTGACTGCTCGCCGGAATTCAGATGCATTTCCCATTATCTTTAAGAAAGAGAGACACAAACAGTATTACAGCATAAAAAGAGAAACTGAGGCAGCAACCAGGCCACAAAATCTAACAGTGATGTTCTCAGTGTGGGAGAGGAAGCACAAAATGTTACTTGTCACACAGCAGATTCCCAGACAGACAACAAAGCCCATTTCCTGCACCTCGGGAATCCCATCTCCAAACGACAACACTGTACACGTTTCCACAGAGACTCCATCCTTCCCTCCCTCCCCCTCCAGCTCCATTATGAGCTTACTCCATGCACAAGCCTCCTACAAGAAGAAAAAAATGAACAGGAAAGCTAACGAAACAAAAATAGGACTTTCCCTCTGCTCCTCAAATAAATCTACAGCCTGGGTGATTGGCTCTCAGGAGATGAACACATCTGGAAAATGACTGATTGCTAGCATTCAGGTGTCTATAAACACTTTAAGAAGTAACACCTATACCTTTGGAACACAGTTTAAAAAAAAAATTAGTGGTGTTTTAAAACAAACCAGCCAGGCCTCAGTGGCTCACATCCATAATCCTAGCTACTCAGTAGGCTGGGATCTGAGGATCATGGTTGGAAGCCATCCAGGACAGAAAAAGTCCGTAAGACTCTTATCTTCCAGTTAAACACCCAAAAAGCCAGACGTGGAGCTGTGAATGAAGGGGTAGAGCACTAGCTTGGAGCAAAACAGCTCAGGGACAGCACCCAGGCTTTGAGTTCAAGCCTCAAGACAGGCACAAAAAAAGAAACGAAACAATTACCTATACATACAATGTAAAGAGCAGACCAGAATTATGATTCCTGTTTGAGGTGTACAGAAATGATGTCTCTCCTAAAAGTAGCAACTGGGCATGAAATCTTTACTAGGCAGAAAGAGACAATAATCTAAATGAAAATAAATTAATAATACTGCAAATTTTATTTCATCAGACACTACTACCTCTTCCAAACACACCTTATTTTCTAACTGTACTGGTCTACTACATCTTTTCATTTCCTTATCTTTATTTGCTACAACATACAGAGCAAATTCAGATACTTCTCTCTCTGACTTTCAGTTCTTTCTTCTTCCTTTAAAGGATGACACAGTCACACTAACACTGCAAGCTGTACGCAGGAGTCAGGAGACTGTTTCCCTGTGGGGTCCCAGACCACATACGTTAATGCCTGTTTAAAATGTCAGCCAAAAAAAAAATGAGGTAGAAAAACCTCAACATAAGAAACACTTGAAAAATAAGCCTGAGGTGCTAGCACATTGAAGGCCAGAGACTGTACAATGAAAACCACAGAAAAGGGCCTGTTTCCTTCTAGATCTTCTCCAGAAAACAGTAGCTGCACAGCTGCAGAGCCCTCTACCACTCTTAATTATATCCTGTGCAAGTTACCAGCAGTCAGAGAGCTGCTGAACTCCAGCAAGTGTCTGCGCAATGAGTCAGTGCTGGTGGTGGAGAAAACGCCACCCAACAATGACCTGGGAGAGAGCAAGGGAAGCAGTATCCTTGCCCAACAAGCAATGTATTCGTTACCTGATTTATATAACAGTAACCCCTCTGTACATTACCTTTCTAGTAACAATAAAAATGCATTTTTTAATGCCGGTGTGTAACCTGGCTCTTGAGCAGACACAGAATGTCTGCAGGTTTTAGGACACGGAACTCTTCATCCTGGCAACACCCCCCCCCCCTTGGAATTTGCCACGGAAAATGGCGGATTGGTAGAAATTGATGTGAACATCTACCTGCAGTCCTAGGATGTGCCCTGACCCAGGTGCGGGGAGAGTCTATCAGATGCCTCTTGGAGGCATAGTGGAGAATTGAAAATGAGCTCAGGGAGAAGTGAGCTTCCCTTATGCTCCACGTAAGTCTTAGGAAACCTCTCTGACAACAACACTTGTAAGATGAGTCAGCTTCTGGTACCTTCCACAAGTCAAGTCTAATTAGGCTGCTTTACTTGTCCAGGCACAAGGTGTCAGTCAGGGAGGGGTGACCTGAGGGAGCAGCAATCACCCCTGAGGGAAATGCTGGGAAACCACCCTGTTTGCTACTGCAGCCTGGCAGAAGGTCCCAGCAGACCAGGGGCCTGGCCCTGTCTCTGCTACTCACGAAGCTGCAGAGCGAGCTGTCTAGGTCTTTCTACGTTACGTTTACCACTCCAAAATACTACACAACCGTCATCAAACTTAGCTGACATGGCCCAGTACTAACTCCTAATCCGTTCAAATGCTTCTAAAGAAGAAACTAGGTAAGTTACCAAATACGGGATTTGAACTAGACATCAATGGGAATTTTCTACTGGTAAAGGCCCACTGCACAATGAAGGAGAAAAGAGGGGTTGCACAACTACGCTCACCAAGGAGATGTGAAACCAGCGTAAACTGGATGGTCCCTGGGAAACTGCAGTCTGGTACAGAAGCATGCGAGCACAGTCTGATAATGCGCCCACACGGCCGAACTGCCTTCACTGTGCTTCTGCCTATCTGCTCAAGGAGCTCCAGCTTTGGAGTCACAGAGGGGACACCCAGGTTGGTAGCTCACGCCGGCACTGGGCAGTGTTTACAGAGAGGGCTCCACGTCTAGGCTCCTGGGGAACCAACAGCTGGATGGTAAATCAGGTACTCACTAACCATAAGGTTTTCTTTTTCTCCTGCAATACCAACCAGACTACATGTAAATACTAACGGAACTCTGCCTTTCTTTCAGGCATAATAACCACAGAAGACTGAAAGGAAAACAGGTGCCCCAAAACCAATCGTAATTTTTATCCTTTTCTTTAAATTTAATTAACTAGTTTTAAATTAAATTATTTTGAGCTTGAACTCAGGCCTGGGTGCTGTCCCTTACTTAGCTCAAGGCTGGTGCTCTACCACTCGAGCTTTTTACTGATTTCAACAGACAATCCTCAGATCTCAACCTCTTGAGAAGTATCTAGGATTACAGGCACGAGCTACCAGTGCTTGGCTATTTTTCCATTTTAAAAGAGAATAATATTTCCCCTCCTTTAACTACCAATGCTTATCTTGCTGTTCTGATAAAAGTTATAAAATACGGTAAGTCATAAAAGCTTTTTAAACACCAGGTTTCCTGGAATTTGCATTCCTGGGGGGAAATGAAGTAATCAAATCCAAAACACCTAATGTTAATAACCATCCTCACTTAAAAGGAAAAAGCAAGACACTTACTGCGAGAGTATCCAAAGCGTCCACAAGGGTCAAAGAGTAGTTCCCTAGCACGTCATTGATGTTCAGATTCGAGCTGAAAAAGAAGCACAATTACAATTCAACAAAGGACTTTATTTTGAAAGAGAAATAAAGATTACAACACTGCCTGGGCCCCGTGGTTCTGTCTCCAATCCCAGCACTCTCAAAGGCTGGGGCCTTCTGGAGTTCAAAGCCAGCCTTGCCTACGATGCACATTTGAGACCAGCCTAGTACAGTAACCCCCCCCCCCCCAAAAAAAAACAACCTAAACACTCATCAAAAACGACAATTGTATAGAGGCAAAAATTTGACTACTTTGAACAGGAAAAATAAAGTTTTGGGTTTTTTTCTGTTAAAAAAAAAAACGACAATTGTATGCCAGGCGCTGGTGGCTCCCACCTGTCATCCTAGCTACTCAGGAGGCTGAGATCTGAGGCTCACAGTTCAAAGCCAGCTCCAGGCAGAAAAGTCTGTGAGATTCTTACCTCCAATGAACCACCCTGTGGCTCAAAGTGGTAGAGAGCTCTAGTAACTCTTATTGACTCAGAAACTGGCGGTGACTTTTATCCGTATGGTGAAGATCTGTCTCAGGAGCCACAAGTCACAAAGACATTTGCAGAATACCAGCGTGCAAAGACTAGACAACAATCACCCGCCTTTCTCTGCGTTAGTTTATTGCCGTAAGTGCTCTCTTGCACTCTGTCTAGCCTCACAAGTCTCTTAATATCACAGTCGCTAACAATTGAAGGACAAAATCACCCCTTCAGACCCTGACACACAGGAAGAAGTAAACACCTCCAGTCTGCCACCAGTGCCTCATCCGGCCTTCAGTGGAAGGGGTCAATGGACTTCTCAACATCTTTTTTTTCTTTTTTTCTTTTTTAACCAACAGCTCATCTTCATTATCCCCAGTAATACTGCATGGAGATCTTATAACCTGAACCAGCGCAGGAACAAGGCCCTTGGCCCCTCCTTAACACACATACACACACACACACACACACACACACACACACACACACACACACACACACTTGCTACTCTCTCCCAACACCTACTGTCCATTCTGAAGCACTCTCCAGACAACAACTCCAGGGCTAAAGCATAACTCCGAGACAGAGTATTTGTTTCGCATAGGCTAGCCCGAGCATTAGTAGAAACAAAACATGGGGCTGGTAAGGTGGCTCAGTGGTAGAGTGCCTCTCATGCACGAGACCCTGGGTTCGATTCCTCAGCACCACATAAGCAGAAAAAGCCGGAAGTGGTGCTGTGGCTCCAGTGGTAGAGCACTAGCCTTGAGCTGAAGAGCTGAGGGACAGCATCCAGGCCCAGAGTTCAGGCCCCATGACTGGCAAAAAAAAAAAAAAAAAAAGAAAGAAAGAAATAAAAGAAACAGAACAGCCAGCACTGGTAGCTCACACCTATAATCCTACCTACCAAGTAGGCTCCAATCTGAGAATCTCAGTTGAAAGCCAGCTGGGGTAAGAAAGACCATGAGATTCTTATTTCCAATAAAGCTGGGCACTGGTGGCTCCCATCTATAACCCTAACTACTCAGAAGGCTGAGATCTGAGGCTCATGGTTCAATGCCCAGGCAGGAAAGTCCGTGAGTGAAACTCTCCATTTCCAATAAATTACTCAGAAAAGGCTGGAAGTGGTGCTGTAGCTCCGGTGGTAGAGCAGTAGCCTTGAGCAGAAGCTCAGGGATAGCACCCAGACCCTGAGTGCAAGCCCTAAGACCAGCAAACAAACAAACAAATGAAGTAAAAACAACATAACAAATAGCTCTTCAGTTACTAGTTATTCTCTACTTCTAGGCTGTTGTGTTTAATAGGAGATAAGAATCTCACCAACTTTCCTATCCAGACTGGCTTCAGACCACGATCCTCAGATCTCAGCCTCCAAAGTAACTAGCATTACAGGTGTGAGCTACTAGCATGGGCCCTCTCTTTTTTTTTTTTTTTTTTGGGTCCGGTCATGGGGCCTGAACTCTGGGGCCTGGGCACTGTCCCTCAGCTCTTCAGCTCAAGGCTAGCACTCTACCACTTGAGCCACAGCGCCACTTCTGGCTTTTTTCTTTTTGCTCATGTGGTGCTGAGGAATCGACCCCAGGGCCTCAGGCATGCAAGGCAAGCGCTTTAACCACTGAGCCACCTTCTCAGCCCCCCTCTTTTTTACACTACAAACTCTAGCCATGTCAAGGAACAGTACTCCACCTGGAAGACAGGGTGTGAGAAACAGTGATACAGACTGTTAGAGAATTCACGACCAAAAACTTAATTTATTCCTTTGTCCCAGTCTCACAAATCCAAGAGAATGGTAGAAGTTTGGGGGGGGGGGGGGGGGGGGGCGTGGCGGGGAGTGACAGGTAAAGAAGAAAACCAGACAACTGGTTTCCCACAAAGTGGGAAAGCCTCCGTTGAATTTCCAGCAAGAGATTCACTCCTACCTATCTTCCATCTCCCCTTGGCTTTATCTGCCCTGTAGCAAGCATCCTGATCCATTTTTGCCCTACTCCCCTGTGAGAAAAGCGTGGGGCCCGGCCGGGCCTGCCATCTAACGCCCCCTGCAGCCCTCAACTGGAGTGAAACCGACCCTAGGTGAAGAAGCAGCCATAAATCACCTCAGCCAGTAGATCTTCCAAGAGCCTTCCAGACAACCTGTTTCATGCTGTATTAGGCCACTTCATCTAAGATGGACAATTTACAGCACAACTGTTTCAAAACAAGCTACGTGGAGGGAACTATCCAGAAAGCAGAGCTGCCTTGTGTAGCACAAGCCGCAAATTCAGCCCACACATGGCTGGAAAACCGCCTGCTTCTCCTATGTGTTCTTTATAAATAAACGTATGCAATGGCAAAAGGTTCCCTTAAGGTGGGAATTACAGATTCGAATACAACATATGAAAGAAAGAACAGAACAGAAATGGCAAGGGCCTTCTGCCCAATTCTGCCACCTCAAGCACATTCTGGGTGCTAATGGCTCACAACTTTAATCCTAGCTACTCGGGAGGATGAGATCTGAGGATCGTGGCTCAAAGCCAGCTCTAGCAGATAAGTCTGTGAGACTCTTCTCTCCAACTAACAACCAAAGTGCCAGCCTTGAGGGAAGGTGAGAGGCGCTGAGTTCAAGCCCCAACACCAGCACACAAGAAAAGAAGGTGGCAAAGGAGGAAGAGGAACAAAAAAGAGGAAGAACAGGAGGAAGAGGGGAAGGAAAAGGAGGAGGAAGAAACTATTCTTCCAGCTTTAATATTTAATTACATTTCTCTGCTGATCAGAAAGGAGTGAGCTTCAACAGCTTATCACTTAATATCTGAAGTAGCTGGACAGCCAGTGACCCCCCCCAAGTCACACCCTCCTCTGAACTACACCCCAATCTGTGGCCTGTGCCACCCTTCCCGCCTGCCCAAGCACATAAAAAGGGTTACTAATTTTGAACTCCACGTACTTCTCTATGTATCATGCTACTAAAATGGACCCGGTTTTAAAATACTTCTCAAGGGCCGGGCATGCAGCTCAAAGGGAGCAGAGCACTTGCTTTAAACATAAATACAGGCCCTGGATTCAAATGTCACAAACAATTTTTCATGATAATTCCTTATTCACTAATAACTGATAATTCTCCCACCTAAATTCCCCAAGTTTAAATGTTTATGACATGGAGACTGTTTGAAATTCTTATTATTTCCTCAAAAGATAAAAAAAAAAAAAAAAACAACTATGGCCTCTGACAATATTTGATCATATAACAAAATCAAACAGACATGTGCAAAAATGAAAATTCCCACAGACCTAACCTGTAACAGCTGACCAGAAACGTATGTTTCTACAGGGACACAAGAGATAAAGAGTCACGTGTTGATAAGCCTGGGAGAGATAAGCAAGAAAGACCCAGAAGGTAAAATGCACAATAACTGCTCAATTCTCAGGCAATGTGAAAATACAAGCTAGCAGCTCAAAGAAAAGAACCCAAAAAAGGAGAACCGAGAAAATCAAGGCAGCCAATGAACCTCAGTGAGTGACGACACAGAAAAAGATCCGAGCCTGACTCTGAAAGACAGGGGAATTTATGGAGACAGCCCTCCTTCTTAGTCTAGGAGGGCCCAGAAATGGGCTAGTGTTTGGTCAGTTCCTTTGAGATTTGCTTTCTGTGTTTCACCAGCAGTCCAATAGGCACAATCAAGAATGGTCACATGTCTGAGGCCTAGAGGTATATAGTCACCAGTCACAGAAATACTTAATACACTCAAAGGCGCTTGAATCTGGATTCCGCCATTCAAACTGGGCCGTGTGAGAAGCGGAGGAGAGCGCAGCCGTCCCTCGGCAGCTGCGCAGGTAGCCGGCAGCAGGTGCTGCCTTCAGGATTGATTTGCGTCACGTGAGCTCAGCACACCAGTCCAGGTCAAAGAAGGGCAACAAGATAAACCTCAAGGAAATGTGGCCAAAAACAGAGTGACACGTGCGAGGCACCCACACGTTTGTTTCTGGGCTTTTACATGCAGAATTTGAACAGTGAGTTCCCTCTTTCTGAAAATAATTAATACAAGACACGTGACCACAATCATGAATATGGCCGATTTTAAAATTCTGAAAGTTTAATCACACACACACATAGATGTTATTTATCTGCAGGATACAAATGTGCCCTCCCGGTTCAGAATACAAAGCTGAGGTTGAAAACTTCCTTGGAAAAGCCCCAAAGCATGAGAGGAGGACAGTTAAAGTTGACAGGAGATGAAAAATGGACATTTCCAGTCTTTGGAAAAGGACCCACATGAGATCTACTTCCAGCCTTCAACCCCACAGCTCCTACCTCCTCAAAGACACAAGGCTACTTTGCCCATTACTAATAATCTTATCTTTCTCAACTTTCCTATAATAGTATAGCTGTCTAAAGAGACCTGATTTCAATGTACAGATTGCCCCAAATCCATAACACACACACACAGCAACCTGTGACACACAAGAAACCACCAAGATCAACAAGTTCAGTCAACCACCACCTCACCTTGCTAAACAGGGGGCTCCCCAAGCTCGCAAAGGCTCTCAAGATTCATTAAGGAAAAGATTAGGACCAGCAATGGTGGTGCATGCCTGTAATCTCAGCTATGAGTGAGGTATAGTAGGTGGATCACAGTCCAAGGCCAGCTCCAAGCAAAAATCAGGCTCTATCTGAAAAAATAAAGTTAAAAAAGGGCTCAGGGTGGCTCAAGTGGTTAAGTGCTTCACACAAGGCCCTGAGTTCAGCCCCAAAACCATCATAAAGGAAAAAGAAAAAGAACAGCAACTTGCTCCAGACCATCATATTCCCAAGCAAGCATGCTACCACAACTCCCCATTAATTTTTTTTTGTTTTCTTAGTCCTAGCAAAGGGCAGTCAGTCACTCAGTGCCAGGATTCTCCCCTTCCTATAAATGCCAGAAGCATGGGTGGGAAAACACCACGAAGATCTAAGGTATGTACCCACTCTGATTGTAACTGTATTAAAATGTGTAAATATATGCACACAAGCAAAGATAACTTCAAAATAGCCAGTCGCTCGGGACCCATGTCTATAGTCCCAGCTACTCAGGAGCTGAAATCTGAGGATCATGGATCAAAGCCAGCCCAGGCAGGAAAAGTCCCAGAGACTCTTATCTGAAAAGTATTTAAGATACGCTGAGGACCTCAAGCAGTGTCTGGCTTGCTCGGCCAGCACACTTCCACTGATTTAAAACCCCAAACCCCTCCAAAACCAGAGTTGAGATCAGAAGAAAACACATGTATAGGTATAAACCTATTTAAATGCGCAAGACAACTCATTCATTTCTACAACTCAAGAAAGACTGATCCAATTTTTATGGGTTTTTTTTTAATATAAGTCCTCCTCAAAGAAATTAAGATTGAAAACATTTTTGCATGAACTTTTTTGGAGGGAGGAGAAAAAAAGAGACAAAGGAGGAAGAACTCAGTTATGACAGGTGCATGGAGACCTGGGCTCAATCCCCAGCACCGCATAAAAGGAAAAAAGAAAAGGGAAGAAGGGAGGGAGGGAAGGGGAGGGAAGAGGAAGGAACTCATTTCTTTGGACTAAGACTGATCTGGTGGCATGAACAATAACTCAACCAGTTTGCTGGTAGAACAATTTGCAAAGGCCCAGTCCCTTCTAAAGTAAACTTGAGATCTCACCTCCCTAACATACTACAAATTAAGGCACAATCTACACATGACCAAAGCTTTATTTTTCTTCTTCCTTTTGTCGATGGTGGGGCTTGAACTCTGGGCCTAGGCGCTGTCCCTCAGCTCTTCAGCTCCAGGCCAGCGCTCTGTCACTTGAGCCACAGCGCCACTTCCGGTTTCCTGGTGGTTCATCGGAGATCTGAGACTCACGGACCTGTCTGCCCAGGATGGCTTCGAACCCCCGATCCTCAGACCTCAGCCTCCAGATTGGCCAGGATTGACAGTTTTGAAAAGTCCCCAAGCCCTGCCCCCCCCCCCCAAACTTCCCGGTGGCGAAGCAAACGTGGTGTCTCAATGGTCCAGAGCCGGCCGTGCGCGCGCCCGGGATGGGGGGGGGGGACACGGATCCGCGGCCGCCTCCCGGGGACCCCGGGCCTCGGCCCCCTCCCCACCCCGCGCGCCCCTCTCCGGGGCGCTCCACGTCCGCCGCGGTGACCCTCGCCCCGGGAACTCCGCCCGGCCGCGCGGGGCCGACGCCCTCCGGACGCCCTGCGGCTGGGCTGGGACCGTCCTGGACGCCGCGCGACCCGAGGATCCGAACCCCAAACCCGAGTTCTCCCCCACCCCCCTCACACACACACCCGCGGCGGGGCCGTCGATCCCTTTCCTGCCCAGGAATCAAGCCTTGCTGGTTGTATGTCTCGTTCACAGCCACCAAGGGCTAGGCGTGGCAACCCGATTACCGGTGGGAGAGCCTCCCGAGCCCGGCCTCCCGAGGCCACCGCACAACGCGTCCGTCCGTCGAAGACGGGCCTGGACGGCTGCCCTCGAGTTTGCGCACTTCCAGACCCAAGTCCGGTCCCCGGCCCTTCCGCGCACCCCCAGCCCGGACGGACCCCGCCGAAACGGGGGGGGGATAATGCGAGCTACTACGGGAGGCCGGCCACGGAGGGGGCAGGACGCGCCCCCGCCCCGGCCGACGGCGCCCGCCCCACCGCCCCGACCCCGCGCACTCACGGGTCCCCGCGGTCGGGCCCCCGGCCGCGGCAGTGGATGGGATTGAGCTCGTCCTGGGGGAAGGCGTGCGCCATGTAGTTGTCGTAGCCGAAGACGAACATGCCCCGCGCCAGGTCCCGCATCTGGGCCCGCAGCTGCGGCGGGAAGGCGCCGCTGTAGCGCCGCTCGTACTCGTCCGGGCCGCAGCCGCCCAGCGCGTAGCCACCCCAGGGCGCCGGGCCGCACACGCCGCCGGGTCCCGGCCGCCGCGGAGCCTCGGGCCGGCCGCCCGCCGCCGCCGCCGCCCCGACCCCGGGCCGCGAGAGCCACGGCGGCCCCGACGGCGCCCCCGGCGGGCCCGCGGGCCCCGGCGCGGAGGGCGCGGAGCCGTCGGGGCCCCTCAAGCGCTGGAAGCCGAAGCTGAGCGGGAAGCGCTGGTAGAAGCCCATGCTGGGGCCCAGCCCGAAGACGAGCCACAGGACGCCGTGCAGGCCGAGCCGGAGGAGCAGCAGCCCCAGGACGAGCGCTCGCCATTGCATGGTCGCGCGGCCGCCGCGGGCATTCTTTTACAGCGCGGGACCAGGCCCGCCGACCGCCGCACCCGCGTCCGCCCCGGAGCTCCGCGCGCGGCCCCTTTAAGGAACTCCCCGCCCGTGACGCACCAGGAACTGGCCCATTGTCACCCCCCACCCAGTCCCGGCGTCTCGGCCCCACCAGCCCGGCCCCGAGTTCGCCCTCCCGGTCGCCCCGGATTGGCCCGACCCGAGCCCTGGCCTCGCGGGGCGCGGCCCCGGACTCCCTCCGGGCACCATAGGCTGCCAGAACCACCGCAGGGCCGGCAGGCCCCGCCTCTCGCCCCGCCCCATCCCCAGGCCCCGCCCCGACAAGCCCCGCCCATGACCCCGCCCTATTCCGTCGACGGGCCACGCCCTGTCCCGTACTCAGGACCCGCCCCTGTCTTGGCTCCGCCCACGGGGCGGTCCGAAGTCCGGACCGGCTGGCGTGGCGAGCTGGGGGCGCTCGGGCCCCGGACCGGGGAACTTGCAGCCAATGGGAGCGCGGCACGGGAGCGCCTGCCGGACACCGGACGGAGAGGCCTCCCGGGCCACCGGGTAAGGTGGCGTCCCGGCCCGAGTGTGTGTCAGTCCGGGAAGGGTCGGGAGGAAGCCACGCCAAGTCTGGGTTAGGAGAGGCGACGCGAGGCTTAGGAGAAGGGGAAGCCGGGCGCGCTGGCTCGCGCCTGTCATCCCGGCCACTCAGGAGGCTGAGACCTGAGGATCGCGGTTCAAAGCCAGCTCGGGCAGGAAAGTCCGTGAGACTCGGATATCCAGTGAACCACCAGGAAACCGGAAGTGGCGCTGTGGCTCAAACGGTGGAGCGCTCGCCTTGAGCTGAAGAGCGCAGGGACAGCGCCCAGGCCGAGTTCAAGACCCACCACCGACCAAAAGGGGAGGGGGGGGCACAGGACCGTTTATGCGACCCTAGTGCCTGCTTGGGGCCGGCTTTGCCTCCTAAGAGTTACCCCTGCTATGCCTAAAACGGATTCCCAGACCCCATCTTAGACCAACCGAATTCCATCTCTCCGAGGGGAGCACCCCTCGCCCAGCCCTCCCCTCCCAACCGTCTCTTCCCGTGCAGGACAGCAATGTCCTCACCTGGGAGATGTGGGTAGGCGTGGAATTAAATCACTTCACCCCCGTGTCTACTTCCAATAAATTAAGAAGATGGCAGGTTTCAGATGGAAAGGGGTATATGGTTTTCCTGTAAGATTTGGCACCTTTGGGAAACTTTAAATGCCCTCAACATGTTTATGTCGTGTATCTATCAAAGGGTCCTGAAAAGTGTGGTCAGAGACTGGCTGAGTGACCCAGGGAGTGGGAAGCATGGTAAACTGTCATTGAACATTCTTGCCATGTTCTCAGAAACAGAGGGCTTTTTGCAATACTGTGTAGTTTTTTAACTGGGCCTAACAAGAAATAACGATGACAACACACAGCACTCTCACATCCCCTCCCAAAATTGCTAGATAGGCCCAAGCAAAACAAAGGGAGGCCAGTCTCATATTTGTAATCCTGACTTCACCGGAGGCTGAGATCTGAGGATCAAGGTTCAAAGCCAAAAGATTCCCGAGAATCTTGTTTCCTATTAACCAGTAAAAAGCCAGGAGTGGAGCTGTAGTTGGAGCAGTAGAATGGAAAGCCTTGGGTGAAAAGGCGAAATTGAAAGAGGCCCTAAATTCACCCTCCAGTGACAGCACAAAAAAAAAAAATCAATCATTTAATAATCAAGGAAACCCATGCAACGTTGGAAAGATGTTTTTTTCATGGTAAAGCTGCCAATAAAAAAGGTTTCAAAAGATCTGTTCCACAGCAACCATTAGGTTGGAGGCTAATTCTCAGAGCTTGTTAGCTGGCTGTTAACCCTCTGTGTCATCTTTGTAACAAATTTAAATATAAAAAATGTTCATGGACATACATGAATTGTACATGGGAAGGAGAGGGCTCATGGTGCCATTTCCATACATGCCCACAATGTGCCCCCATTTCTTAGGGCAATTTCAACTGGTTTCACTGTCCCATTTCCATATAAGCATGTAAGCCACTTCGCAACCCCTCTCCATTCCCCCTGCCCATCCAGCAGTGACTTAAGCTGTGTGGAGGGTATTTACCAACCAACAGGAAACACCTGCAGTGGCCAAGTTACTTGTACAACAGCAGACTTGCAGGAAGTCAGAAAGGCTACTTGTTTTGTTCTCCTGTGTCTTCCTTTCTGGGTCTCTTCACTGGCAGATGCATTGTGGAAGAAATGACCTCAGAAGTTTCTAATAAAATGAAAACATCTTCATGATCAAACAGGATGGTTTCTCCCATGGTGGCCTTTTTTTTTTTTTTTTTCAAATAAATAAAGCAGTTGGCCAGTTAGCTATTAAAATAGGGTTCTTGGTATACAGTTTTACTCCTGAACTCAGTCATTCAGAGAAGCTCAAATTACAAAACAGGATTCCACTGGAACTCAATCCCTGGTGTGGACAACACAAAAAGCAATTTAGTTCCTCAGTCAAAAAAAAAGTAACACTAAAGCAGCCATGGTCCAAAACACCTACTTCCCTTGATAAAATCAAAGGGATTCATTTTAGAAAGTTACAGGTGGTTTGGCTGACAGGGTCTCACTATGAAGCTCAGGCTGGTCTGGAACTCACAATCCTCCTGCCTCAGTTTCCCAAATGCTGAGCCTACAGGCCTAAGCCACCATAACCAAAGTATGTATACAACAAATTAAGCTAAATGTGTACATTCAGTAAGCCCCTCCTCAGCCCCCCCATTTTTCACCTCCCAGGTCCTTGGCTTGGAGAGTGGTGAGAAGACCAAAATCCACTAATACCTAGGGGCAGAAAAGCTACAATCACAGCCAACTGGCCAACGGAGGGCTGGCGGTACAGAATCACACCATGGACAGGAAGAGAAAGCCAACTGGACATAAGTATCATATCATTTCCCCAAGAGCTTTGATGTCTTCGTAGGACCAACATGCTTGGTATTGGAAATAGTTTCTTGATGAACTGTCCTAAGAAGACATATCTTGCAGTGTTTCATACATGTATACACGTAGTTGAGGGGACGGGAACTGTTTGAGAGTTTTGCCTTGTAGCTCAGGCTGGCCTGAAACTTTGGCAATATGCTTGTTCAACCTCTCAAGAGCTGGGATTACAGGCATGCGCCACCACATACCTAATTTTCTTAGTAGGCTTTTTACTTTTAAGTCTGGACTTTTGGCTGGGAATGTATCCTTGGCAGAGCACTATGCCTAAGATCTCAAGGTCCTGGATTCCACTCCCAATATAGCAAAATCAAACTGCAATGGACTATCAAATGCTGAACTAGGCCCTGCCACACAGAAGCTCTATACTGGGGACTGCAGGGGAGGGGCAGTGGCAGAGGGCTTCCCTACCACTCGAGAGGCTGACACGACCTCCCTCCAAAAAAGTATCATGGGCGTCCCCCTAAATTCACTGCACCCTGACTTTACAAGTGGTAGCCACCCTCCACCCCACAACAACAAAACAACACAATTCCAGATCTAGGGATATTTCAAAAGTTTATTTCTACATTAACTAGCCCACAGGCCCATCTCTGAACGCTGAGTTGATTTTTTTCTAGCCCACGGTCTATGGACCCCTCCATGGTAATTTCCCTTCCGCTCCTTTCCAAAAAGTCTGCAACCTTTCAGCATGATGTACATTTTAAGTTAAAATTGCCGTTACAACCCTCAAAATGCAAGTTTATTGAACAAAGCTAAGAAAAAGCAGTAAACAGATGAAAATGCATCTACCAAAATTTTTTTAAAAAAACAAAAAAAAAGAACTGTAAGTATTTACAAAGTTGAGTGACTATTAAGTTTCCACATGCAGAGGTTACACAGAAAAATGGTAGTGGCATTTGGATGTCTACAGATGGTAAAAGCAATGGACACACACACACACACACACACACACACACACGCACGCACGCACGGTCAACTGCAACGTATGCAGTCCCTGCAGCCCAGCCCTCATCCCAGCCCCTCTTCTGGGACACATGTGACCATGTTCTCCGTCCCAGCTCACAGTGACCATCAGTGGTATACACCACAGCAGTTAAGTTTAAATATCCCTTCGTTTCCAGAACCACCCATCCTACCTGGGAAGTATTCAACATGCCTCAAAGAAAAAGAGAACTTGAAAAGCTCGGATTCCGCTCACTCAAAAGGTGGATGGGAAACAAGTAACACGTGCAACACAGCGCAGTACTCTGTACAGAAGTCTTAAGGCCATGGCAGTCTATAAATTAAAACTGCTATTTGCAAAAAAACAAAAAACAAAAAACCCTCAATGGTGACATCCTCTTGAGTGCTCAATGTATCTGGAAACGCAGTGTGCAGGAAACAAATCCCACACAGCATGAGGCACACGAAATAGTGCCCAACAGGGCTCTTCTGCTACGGCGGCCTATGCAAACCTGCGTCATGAGTCCCTTTATGTCTACAGAGATCACTCAACTATAAAACGTGTTCCGTACTTTCTATACATTTCTGTATCATGAAGCCAACAATCAACAGCTTCAGTTTCCCAGTTCGCTGTGTGATTATTAAACAACCTGTAGACATTGTGCATGATTCATCAGATAAAGCAGGCAGGTCTAGAGTTGTCATAATAATCAAGACATCTAATGGCACCAGACAAGAGTACCCAGCCTTACTTGGTAAGAGAAAAATTAAAAAATTGTTTTCTTTGTATCTTTTGTGCTGAAAGTCAACTTTATGACTCAATATAAAAAGTTAACAGCGTGTCATGCAGCACTGATTTAATGACTGGAGATAGAAAAAACAAACGTGTGTCTGAACGAAGTCTGACATTGTTAACAGGTTTTATTACACTGGCTGGAATGCTCTAAATTCATGAAAGCGTTTGAGAAAATCATCATCAATCCCAAGCCCTTAAAAAAGTGTATGGAAAAGGAAAAAAAATAAAAGAGTAATGATCTGGACATATATAAACCAGCATGCACGCCTTACTCCTCCCACACCCCCGCTGCTGTCTGGTGATGACATATTCTCAGAAAACAGAGTATGTTTATAAAACCGTCAGGTAGGAACTCTCCAGTGTAAAGAGCCAA